ACTTGTAATCCTCCATGAAAGGGGATATTAACAATGCCATGCTTTTCTCAGGAACCAGGTCCACACAAGCGCCGGCGGCACAGTGCGAGGCGGTTCTCGCGGTTTCCGGTGAGTTTTCCCCGTTCTCTAATCTTTCATGAAAGGGGATTACAGACGATAAAATAGTTTTTTTATGATATTTTTAAATCATTCATAATTTAGCTTGGAAAAAATTGGTAAAATTAAAATATACGGGTAGCCGAAGCTATAAAAAAAAACTACTTATTATGTGTACGGAACAATTATTATTCATGATTTGTTAGTCGTTCTCTTTTGAATGATGCGAATCGTCAACCACCGTTTATTATCAGTGACGAGAGTTGTTGCGTGAGTATATTGCTATTACTTAGTTTTGAGTTGACGCTAGTGTGTTATTTTTGATGTTTTTTCTCCCTCCAAGTTCTGCAGGCAGTTCGTCCACCTTAACTTCTATCGGCAGACAAGTAGAGTTAGGGGTGGGAATTCGGTCGGTTTGGTTTCGACCGAATCGAAATTATGAATACCGGGTCCTCGAATTCTCTCAAACCGAATTCGAACCGAATTATAATTCGGTTCGGTTTTTCACCCAAAACCGAATTTGTGAAGCTACTTGTATTTTCTCACTTTTAAATTATTTTTCACCTCTAATATAAACAATAAATATCAATTATATGCATCATCAATGATAAAATCAAACTTTTCAATACATAAGTTATAAAACATTTCAAATATTTAAGTCTAAAAACAACTACAAACATAAAAATCCATCATTTGGGACTTGCAATTATAGTATTTCGGTAGGAAATTCGAAAATTCGGTTCGGTTGAGAGAACCCTGGTTTCCGAACTATCCATATTTTCATTCCGAATTCCTAACCGAATAGCATTAATTTGGTTTCGATTCGGTTTAATTCGGTTCGGGTCGGGTTAACCGAACCGTTTGCCCACCCCTAGGTAGAGCGATATAAGCAAACCAAAAAAGAAAAAAAAAACATTTTAATTAGAAGTTCATATATAATGTGGTTGAACTATATATAGAATTTCATTCCTAATTTTTAGCTCTGCATCTTTGCATATGCGATAATCTTACCAAGCCGATATTGGTCCTACACCGGGCCCACCTTGAACCTTTTTAGGGTCTTATTGCGAAGGATGAGTGAGTCATGCCGATGGGTTATGCCCACGGGAGGCCACTCACCTTCAAAGCCCATCCTATTGTAATTAGATCTATTCCCCAACTGCAACCACATGCATATTATATTGGGAAAAATAACATTTTGTTATCTAAATTTTTTTATTATGATATCTTAGTAGCTAAACTCTTCAAAATTTATATGTTGATCCAAATTTTGGATGTCATTTGGATCCATGTATCAATATAATCCAATCCATGAATCCAAAAATCCATTTGATCCATAAATTTATCAAATCAATCCACCAATTCACAAATCCAATTCATTTGCCACCTACAATCTCTTTTTCCCAATCTGCCTAATAGGGTCAAATTATGTCTTTCCTCCCCTCATTGTTGTTGAGTATAAAATTGACGGAAGAATTAATTTATCATTAGTAAGTGAAAGGGCTAGTTTTATGGTGTTAACTTAATAAACGAGCAAGTTATGATTCCCATCAAACTTTTGATGACTTCTAAATGATCCTTTTCCTTCAACTAATCGTTCTATCGTTAAGTTCGGGTATTCAAAGGAACATATGGTCCATTCTTTCCTATCTCATTTTGGCCGCTTAAAGCTACATTCATGTCCGATGTGATATAACCAAATCATAGACTTGCATAATTCAGTTTAAAGTCTGGACATATAATTTAGATTAAGACCATCTCCATTGTTAAAATTGATTAGCAATTTATAAATGTGGTCCCTATTACTATATCATTAAATCTAGCAATTTCTACTTATTTACATCCCTAAGATGTGTTAGCAATTTTCAAAGTGGATCTCATTTATTATTTTACTACACAAACACTTCTCAATTGAAAAGTAAATAAGCAAGAAAATATAATAATAAAAATTACTCATGTAGCATTGCTAGAAGAATTGCTAATTTAGCAATCTTGCTAGTTTAGCAATAACTTTTACATCACTAGCAATTGCTAAATGTTTGTCATATAAGCTCCAATTTACTTTAGCAATTGCTAAAAGTTAGAGATGGAGATGCTCTAACTACCTAGCATTTTATCATTACCATGACCCAACTAATTAATCATGTATGTATGATAAGGCGATAACTACTGTGGATTCAGTATTCTGACCCGTCGTGAAGAAAGTAAATCAATATAGAGAACATTAGCCCTTGGACGAAGATGACATGCACAAGTCGATAGATGATAAATATACACCCTATGCATTATATATGTGAGTGATCATATCTCTAAAAAAACATTCCCCTCAAACTTTTCTCCTAAATTACCTACAAAGTCAATCATACAATCTCTCCATCAAACAATTGGACAATTATTTTTCATCTTTGTTTAAATTTTTGGGCCAACATTATTTATGAAAGTATTAGTTCCTTCATTATTTATGAAAGTATTATTTTGCGATTCACTTGATTAAATAACAAATCCTCTATCTCTATAATTCTTGTAGGGTATACATAATTTACACTATGGCTTCTTCCTCTCACCAAAAGCGCAAGGAGCATATAGGGGTAGTTGAACCAATGTCTAAATACCAGAAGAGTGCAGAACCGGAAAACTTATTCGAGGATGTGAAAGTGACTCAGAGAATGAACGTGCATGTCAGCCCACGTGAGGAAGGTGTTTTGATTGATTGGTACAATACATTGGACGAACATTCGAAGAGCAAGTTTTCGTCAACATACAAAAATATCATGGATATGGTGAAATTTCCCTTGGATTGGAATATGATAAAGGCAATGCTATGGTTCTGGAGCCCATACTATAGGTGTTTCATCTTCGAGGATTTCGATATAACACCCACCGTAGAAGAGTATACACAATATTTGGGTTACGATCCTAAAGATCATCGTAAGATGTACTATCCAGATATTGGAGTTGATCCAAGTAGTGCTTTTGCAAACTTGTTTGAGATCACGACTCCAGAAGCTAAGAAATTTATCAAGGGGGGTGACGACGCGGGTGATCGAAAAACAATCAACGTGCAGCAATTGTGGAGATTTAGTTTGACAAGATGTGCGGAGAAGAGAAACAATATATATCTCATAAGGGGCTTGGCATTGGCAATCTACAGTGTTGTGGTGTTCCCCACAAAACAAAACGAAGTTCACAAGTCTATCATTCCTTTGGTGAATGCGATCACTATGCATGGAATTAACCCTGCTTCGGCGATATTGGCAGAGACTTTCAGCTTCTTCAACCACTGTCGAAGGAATGAAAGATCCTCAGCCACATTCTTTTGTGCATCAATCTTCCAGACATGGGCTCATAATCACATTCTCAAAGATACGAAACCCAAATATCGAAACGACAGACCAATATACGACGCAGCTCGTTCCAAGAGAAGAGAGTGGCGGTTGGACAAGTGGGGGGAGTTCCTCGACGGACTTACATGTGAAGAGGTTGTTTTCTTTCCAATCTGGTCGCATTGTCGTCGTGAATTTCTTGGACCAAAAGGCTCAATGTCTTGTTGTGTACCTTTAGTTGGTCCAAGAACTTGTGTTAGCTATACACCATCTTTGGTAAGGAGGCAATTTGCAGCCAGGCAAATCCATCCAAAAAAGGGATTTGCGACCGCGAAAGATAGTAGTCCGCCTGATTTTCCTGATGATGTGTGTGCATGTAAGGTTGAATTTATGTGGTGGGGAGAAGAAAAGAAGTGGGAGCAACTAGAAAAGGTGAAGAATAAATGGGAGGTACAAAGGCTTGTTGAACAAGAAGGTTATCAATACCTTTTTGCAAAACCTGATTATTTAGAGTGGAGGAGAACAAGAAAGATGGATTTCGTCAAGAAGGTTTGGTCATCATCCACAACTCGGTCATCAAATGAACAAATGGATTGACAATGATGGAGATCCATAAATGTTTTAGTCATCAAGTTGTTTTAGTAATTTCAAGAGATGTATTACTTTCCTAGTGTATTGCTTTTGAACCAACTTCCATGTTTAATGATACCAAAGTAAGGGGGATCGAGTTTGATCGAGTTTGATGTATCACTATACTTTGATTGCTTTCTCTGTAGTTGTTCTTTTATATAATAATTGGTTGTGGTATAAAACTTGCATCGATGAGATGATTCAGCAGAGTCGGATTTATTGATATTTTGTAGAATATTTATAGATGCTTAAGGCTTCTGACAAGTTTAATGTTTACTAGCTTTGCCCATGGCTCGGTCGGTGGCCGAATTTAAGAATAACTTCTAACAATGAGAACCACATCTCTTTCTTTCATGTCAATTTTTGTTACTAGAGTTTTATTGGATAAAAGTTTTAGAAACTATGTCATGATTCATATATAATAAATGAGTCTTTGTCAATTTATCACTAATTGAGTAATATGAATCTTGATTTTGGTTTGGTTCACAACTAATGTATTAGTTCATAGCTATTGTGACAGTCAAAGGTGATCCTTATAACCCAACCTTTTACTCAAACCAGAAATTAATGCAAATTTTGGCAATTTGCACATAAACTATGAACTTGTATTTGAACATAGGCTGCATTTTGTGTGTAATACAACTAAGAAGAACCTTACCCCAATACGACCTCATAGAGTCTCATTCTCTAATTACTTATGATACTATATTAAGTAATTTGGTTCGTCTTTCCCGGCCGCGATACCTTCTACACACTGAGATTAGAGGTAGTGTTTGTTTTCTCCATCTCCCTTTATCACTGCTTCTATTCTACTTTGTACGAAATGAAACGAAAACATTGAAATAGGTTAATTCATGGGTTAGTAAACAGAAGTACAGAACTCAATTGATGAAATGAATGAAGATCCGTAGGTTGAAATAGGTTGATTCATGAGGTTTAATAGTCAAAACCCTTCCATATCCGGTTGGACAACATTGACCTGCACAAATCAATTATTTGGCCGGTCGAACCATAGCCGCGCTCTTCCGCTTCCCGGCCGCTTCCTCCTCGTTCTCTCCTTCTAGTCGATTCCCCGAACGATTTCTTCTACCCTCACCCAACAGCCGCACTTGCTGGTTTCCGCATCGTCCGTCTCTCCTGCACGACCAAAAGGGTTTTGATTCGGCACCCCCTACCTGAGAAGTGACTAGGTAAGCCATTGGCCGAGGTTGGTATTCACTAAGTGAATCGTCAACATTATGACGTCTGAACTGGAAACGAGCTCCTGGTTTTAAAATTTTTGGATGGAGAGCTAGGGTTTCGGTTCTTCTAATTTAACAAAACGAGTGGCGGAGGAAGGACTGTAGCAACCCCGCACAGCTCCGACACTTCCTCTCGACCCATCCTTCAATGTCATGCTCACGGCTGCTTCTTTTCAGCTTTTCTTTTGGTGTAGCATGGAGCTTGAAGTTCAAATCTCAATTTTGGTTTTCAGTGATTAGCTCCTTTCTCCGTCCAATCTTAAGCGAGAATTTATTCCGTGATTATTGTCTCTCTTACCCGTTTTTTTTTTTTTTTTTTATGGCAGCTTATTCGTTGTAGTAAATTGAATTGACTGCAGATTATGGGTGAGGACTGAGCAGCTTGCTCTCTTCGTTTTTGCAGCTCCTTTTTCCGTTCCTTCAACTTGTTTCTGTTGGAAATCTGTAATTTCAATTCTTTGTTGCTACTACAGAGAAGCAAAATGGAGAGAAGTCACTTACGAGAGAAGCGTAAAGAAGCTAGAAAGGAGACGAAGCAGAGAAAAAATGAATCTTGGTTGGCACATCAGGTACATTGCTTTTGGTTGCTACGTGGTTTGGTTGAGAAATTAGGGTGTGGGGATCTCCTGTAATGCTTAGCCCAATGTCTGGTTGTGCAGAAATCGAAAGGCCTCAAGAAAGCTAAGCAATTAAAGACAAAGTCCGCGAAATCGAATAAATCAGAGGCGAAGAGTTTGAAAGAGAGATCAGGTGGAAAGGTAGCTCCTAACTTGTTGATTGAACGGGATTTACAGAGAAAGAGTACGAAAGGGAAGGTGAAAGATTCTGTTGTCGCTCGAGGGAATGTAAAAGAAAAGGATAGTTTGAAGAGAAAATCACAAACAGGGTTTGAAGAGTTTCTTCAAATAGAAATGCAAAATAAGGAATTTTTGGCACATGAAGATTTGGAAGTTGAGAAAAGGCTTGCTAAGAAACTTAAGGTCAAGGATAAAATGCTGAGGGGCATGGATGATGGTCTTAATGATCTTCTCGGAGGCATGCCATCTGCGTTCGAATCTTTCAATGAAGAAGATGTCTCAGATGGTGAAGCTTACTCCACTGGGAATATACAGGATGATAGTTCTGCCAGCGAAAGTGAAGAGGATACCTCTGCTGAAGATACAGAAGAAACCCACTCTGAAGATGTTGCAGAATCTGATATGTCGGAACCAGTAGACAACGAGGTGGAACATGAAGAAGCTGGCTCCGAGATATCTTCATGCAAGAGACGCAGGAGGAGAAAGAAATCAAAGCAGAGCCAAGAAGGTGAAATGCCAAGTAACACAGAAAATAGAGATTCCGGTGGAGAATCAGTTGACGTAGGGGGTGAATTGAAGGAGGCTGTCGATGTCTCTGCACCACTGGTTGGTGTGAAGTATATTGCTCCCCATTTGAGATCTCGAGCTGGAGATGAGTCTGAAGATCATACTCAAATCCGAAGACGAGTTCGCGGTACGAAGTTGAGCTTTTCTTTTCCTTGTTAAGTTGTTGCTTATGTGCTTTGGATCCCACATGGGTCTAATCTTATGACTTGTTCCAGGTCTACTGAACAGGTTGTCTGAGTTCAATATAGAATCCATTACTGGGGAAATGGCTACGATATTTAGAGTATGTCCATCTTGTTATTTTGTTTGATTGCTTTTCCACATATATATCACATGTTTGAATCACATCAGTAGAATGGTTCTTATTTTAGTCAGTAGTAATTTAAGTTCTCAATGTTTGGTCCATGGAGGCGTCCCTGATAACAGTTCCTAGAGTAATAACTTCAACTTTTCGATATTGCACTTTCCAGTCTCTCAGCCGCAGTGTCAGTACTCAAATTATCAGTGGCGAGGTGTTGGCTGCATGTTCTGGTGGCCCCCGTGGCAATGAACAGTGAGCTTATGTTTCCTCTTTTCCTTAAATGTTAATTATGTGTGATATTGTAGAGTGCTGTTCATTCTTTGTTCCTATTCCGCACTTTTGACAGAGCTGCTTTTGCCCCCCATCCCTCTCTTCTCCACTCGTCTTGTCCTTGAAGGTACGCTGCTGTTTTTGCCGCATTTGTTGCAGGCATGGCCTATTCTGTCGGGCAGGATTTTGTTGCAAAACTCATGGCTTCACTCGCTACATCTTTTGAGGTTGTGCATTGTACGCTTTAGATGGAGCTACATTGTTACTGTTCTAATGTTTGTCTCTGATGGTTCCCTTATTTACCTAAGTGTTTTGAGCATTGAAGTTTTATTTCGAGGATTCACTTCTCTTACTGCTGAAGATCTAACATGGTAAATGATGTCGTTCTGGTTGCAGGACGAGTACCGTAAAGAAGACAATCTTTCTTTGAGAAACCTCACTCTATTGCTCTCCTATTTATATATTTTTGGAGTTTGCTCAAGGTGAGTTGTAGACTAGTTCTAGATAAACATAATAGAACTTGGTTGGCTATATTTAAATAAGAAAGATAACTGTGTCACTTTTGAGGAAGTATATTCTACAGTAGCATGGGATAGGGTCACCGAGTTTGGACAAGTTCAACTATAAAAGTCATGTGTGTAATGCATGTGTGCATGCTACTCTAGTTGCAAGCACCTGTTGTTTTAATATACTTATGGCCAAATATGCTCTGACACATTGGCTTTTGTTCCCCATTGTTTCAGTGATTTGATATACGACTTTTTGATCATGTTGAGCAAGCGGTTGACAGAGGTTGATGTTTCCACCATCTTGACTGTTTTGCAATGTAACTTCCTTCTCTCTTTAGCTTCTCTCAGATGTTCGCTATGGAATTCTGTTACTTGTGAATGTCTCAAGTGTGTGACTTTACAGTCCATGAAAGCCTGTTGCTTGTCAGTTTTAACTTCTAATAGATGCATATGTTAGACTGTAGTAGTTGTTGAACATATTTGACAACTGTCGAGCTTAAAGTCCGGTTTTGTAGCTAGTGTACATCGAAGTCCCCCAAATCACCCTGGATATGTCTCATTGTGGATTTGGTGATGCTATAATGCTTTTGTTATTGGAGCATTTTCCAAATGCCTAAGTTCTATTCACTGTCTATGTAGGCTGTGGGATGAAAATAAGAGGAGATGACCCTGCTGTCATGAAAAACTTCATTCAGACTGTTCAGAATAGGGTTCATGAGCTGAAGGCTTCATCTACTGAAGAACAGGAAAAAATCAACGGCAAAAGGGTCAGTTTTAGTGGCTGAAAATACCTTTTGACAGCTTCAGTGCAGCATCCCGACTGGTTTAAAGCCTTAACTGAAACTTTTGCAGATGGAATTCATGCTTGAAACCATATGCGACATAAAAAATAACAAGAAGAGGTCTCATGGAGAAACTTCAGAACACACCCGGATCAAGAAGTGGCTGCAAAAGGTCTTTATGTTTTCTCCATTCATTTCCACTGGTTTGTTCAATACTTTTTTTTACCTGTAACTTAGTTCTTTGCCAAAAATGCAATCTTGATGATTTAGGATTGGTAACCAAAGTAGGCATATACGTTTCTCTCAACAAGAACCTGTGTTTTGTGATTATAGAATTCTTGTCATGAATTTATATGGCACATTTTAGTATGTTTAAGCATTTATTACGTTTTTAGTTGAGCGCTGAAGACATCCTGCTTCGAGGACTTAAATGGAGCAAGCTGCTCGATCCTCACAAGAAGGGTCAGTGGTGGTTGTCCGGTGATGTTGCTGGTAAAGCTGATGATGCTGAAAAAGTTGCAAATACAATTGACAAAGAGGTGCTGGAGGCTCAAAGCATGCTGCAGCTTGCCGCTGCTCAGAGGATGAATACTGATACAAGAAAGGCAATCTTCTGTATCATAATGAGTGGAGAGGATTACGTGGATGCCTTTGAGAAGCTTCTGAGATTAGATCTGCCGGGGAAGCAGGTTCGTCTTTTCCAACTTCCTTAAACTTCTGTGCTGCTGCAATTATTCTTCTTCCTGTCCAAATTTTATACCGTAACTGTTTCGATCTGCTCCAACTTGCATTGACAGGACAGGGAGATTATGCGGGTTCTCGTTGAGTGCTGTTTACAGGAGAAAGTCTTTAACAAGTATTACACTGTTTTGGCCGCCAAACTGTGTGAACATGAAAAGAACCACAAGTTCACAATGCAGGTATCTCCATTTCCTTTTCCTTCTTGCACATCCTTCTATGGACAAAATGAATACAGTGAACTGTGAACTTTCGTGAACTACTGGACTAGAATTTGAATTCGCCATAACACTCACGCAATGTGTCCTCAGAATCATACGACTCACTTATTCGAAACACAGGTGTTCTTAAATATAAACATGCTACCAATCACCAGTTTTCCAACGACCCTTAAGACTTTATTGTGTATTGCCAATTCAACAGTTTTGCATTAGAGACCACTTCAAAGAGCTGGAATCAATGTCACTTCAGAGGTCAATGCACCTAGCCAAGTTTGTAGCAGAGATGGTTGCTTCTTTTGTGCTCTCCCTTTCAGTAGTCAAGACCATCGACTTTGATGACGCTGCACAGCTAACCCCCAAAAGGATCATGCATTTCCGGATGTTGTTTGAGTCGATATTCGAGTACCCTGGTAATACCGTTTGGAACACTTTTACTCGCTTAGCAGGCGATGAAGAACTGGAACCACTTCGTATTGGAATGGAGTTCTTCATCAAGGAGTATGTAGTGAAACCTAACAAGGCCCTCGCTACCAAATTCAAACTTGCCAAAAGGGCCCTCAATAATGTGGAAAGGGTTCTCATGTGAGTCTCCAGCATTATGCATTGTTCTGTTCATGTTCGGTTGCGCTGTTGCATCGAAGTTGAAAAATTTTGTGGCGTCGAGTTGTGAAGTTCAGATCAGATGAATTATGTTGTGAGGAGATCGAAATCGTTGTAAAACCTTTATTGATACTGATGAAAATTTTGTAGAATATTAATGCCGAGGAAATTTTTGGCCATGATATGTTCTGATTTATGCATGATTGCGGTACGTTAGACGGGTAACCACAGTTAGAGCCTAACGAATCTCGGATTCCGTTGGATTATCGGCTTCTCGGTTTCTCGGTGACCAATAGTAACTCGTTACTCATCAGCAACTCTAAAATTAGGTTAGAACAGGACAACCCTGGCAACCCAAAAAAGCTGTCAATCACTGATTCGGTTCAACCTAGTTTAAGTATTGAGAGGATGTCATATATGGTTAACTTAATCTATGTGTTACTGTATATACAACTGAATCATCGATACAGTTGCGACTAACAGACTAACTGATAAGTTTAATCCATTCGATTCTGAAACTTATTAACCAATTCGATCAAATTGAAATGGTTAAGACTGCTATATAATACCAGTATCTAATGGTATCAAAGTCAAATATTTGTAAATTGTCAAATGTCAAGGTAAGGAAGCCTGGCATCGTTGTTTGGAATAGGCTTCATTTGTGAGAGAGTTGAAATCAGAATTCAAGCATATAAATCCATGTATTATCCCGACAAAATATATAGTTACACGTAACTATCCATCTTTTCTAAATATATTCTTTTGCAATAAGCATTTTTTCTATATGCACTTCACCATTTCAAATTTATTTGAACTCTTGAGCACATTTCACTGTTCTTTTCTTAGTAGTTCTAACTGTTTGAATTGAAAAAGTAGTATACTTTTTATTTAGTTTGTTTTTCCTTTTCATTTTTCCCGATCATCCTATTAAAATATCATCTAGCACTCCCTTTTGTTTCTCCTTCGAATTTATATATTTTGTGCCAAAAACTCATATTTTATGTATCCTACACTATAATATCCATTTTTATATATGTTGAAGTTCAAAAAAATTCAAAAAACATAGCTACGTATTCACGAGTTGCATTCCTATTCGACACTGTTACTAAGTTACACCAATATTGTTAATTTTTTTATGGAAAAACACCAATATTATTTAGTTCTAACCACTATCATATACAACAGTTTCATCGAACATAAACTAACTTATCTTTATACGAATAGTTTACATAAAGTTTTTTCGAAATTGATGCTTTGTTTCTCTATAGAGAGGTCCCAAGATTGTTTGTGATGGGATGAATAGCTCTGCAAAGAATAAAGAATCAGGTTAGATCCAATTAGAAAAGAGCTTCGCAGACATATAGTATACTCAAACTACGACCGCGTGCTTTCAAAGATGAACACATTCTACTACACTTATAGAGTTATAGTAGATTACAACATAAATCCTATCGTGGAATCTGACACGACTATCACATTCGAGACACCCACTTGTGATGTTTGATTTGGCGACCAAAATCCTATAGCATTAGCATGAGGCCATGAACATTAAGAAAGTCTACCACTACTTGTTTACAAAAGAACCTCTATTATCATTTATCAACCACATTAAGGGTCACAAAATACTAATCCTACACGAGCAGCCTCAGAACACTAGCCAAACCAAGCCATTCTTCGTATGGATCCATGCTTTTCACATGGTTGATTGAGGAGGGCTGCTCACAGCACCACCAGAATGGGTAACTAATGGAGTGGAAGATGGAGAGCCTGCTGGATGTGAAGAAGGAGGATTGGATTTTCAACCACTTTGGTTCTGTCCTGTCCACTCCGGGGTGTAAAACTGAGGGCTCACTACCTGCTCAGATTGGAACACATGTTTATATATTAGTGCCACTGATAAAATAGTTCATGTGTACAGTTAAAACATGCATAATTCCTTGGAGATTAATAACTCACGCCAAACAAAGTTCCACTGCGTACCTGCAATTTTCTCCTTGAGATTGCATACGGATGATGGGCCTATTAGGCATTAGCTAATCTAATTTGGTCAAGGGCCTACAGAAAATATAATAGTATTAATTGATTACTCATTTTTTAACTGAAAATTATAAGTCTGAAAAGATACCATCCAGTTGCTCTGGTTTCTTTCTTATCTGCCTCTAACCATCTCTCCTATTGACCGAAGGGTTGAATCACCTCCATCGGACACCACGCCTGGTGGTGGGAAAATGGTCACTCAACTTCCTTGCAGGCCAGGTACAGACGGCACCGGCCATCCCAAAGTAGAGAGCAAGAGAGGGAAGCGAGAAAAAGAGCGCCCATCATCACGCAGAAGACCCAACTCGTCCAAGGGCCGCTCAACTTCTATGTGAAGGATCGCAATACCCGAGAAACCCTTGGGATACGAAGACCTTCACTCTTTCCAAACCTTCGCCATCATCACCAAGAGCGGCGGGTGTCAGATACCAGGGCAAAAGCAAAGAGAAACGCTTTCCCCAAGACTCAAATGCAAAGGCCCGTGTAAGGAAAGGCGCGCCCATCATTGCCCGGGATTTCGAAGGGTAAGCACATAGGGCGGCAAATGAGCCGAGCTGTTCGCGAGCGGCTCGGTGTTCGACTCGAGGAAAGCTCGTTCGAAACTCGGCTCGTTAATAAACGAGCCGAACACGAGCTAAACTTTCTCCAACTCGTGAAGCTCGCGAGCTAGCTCGATTCGGTGGCTTGTTGAGCTAAACTCGTGAGCTGGCTCGTTTAGAGAATCAATCTATATCTTATGTTTTTAATTCATATGGTTATTAAATTATATATTTCACCATATATAAAGTTTAAAACGTTGAGTATGTGAGCAAATATATCTTATTTTCTACTTTGAAAAAAAATTATGTATCATAAATTGCTTTGTTACTATGAAATAACATGATTTGGAGTAGTTAAAATTTATTAACTAAATGATATATAATACCAACAAACTATAATATGATATTAGCTAACAAAATATATCATGTGTATAATGATATACAAAATGAAGTACCAAATAAAAGTTAAGATTTTAGTAAACAAGCTAGCTCGAGCTCGACTCGGCTCGTTAATAAACGAGCTGAGCTTGAGCTCTACTTGTTTATTAATGAGTCGAGCTCAACCTAGGGTAAAACTCGACTCATTTGCAGCCCTAAGCACCAATACTCACGGCAAGAGAGAAAAAATGACAGGTGTAATGATTATCAGAAGGTTCATGGGGAATAGTTGAGAAAAGTAGAGAAAGAAAATCAAGAAAGCAAATAGCGAAGGGAAAATTAGGGCTCAATTGAGGGCAACGCGGCACTCACAGAAACAACAGAGGACAAAACTGCAAGGGCCACACACAGGCGAGCAGCCAATAAGAAAAGGCGGGCGGGGCCAACTGCAGACCAGGGACCAATCAGAAGGGGGTGAACAGTATTTCAGAGTCTAAATGAACAGGAATTTCGTGTTTAGACGAACAGTGTACCGTGCCTTTACAAATAACTTTTTTCATTGCTAAAAATAATACATAGCGAGTGAGTGCTTTTAACATCCTTCTTGCATGTTTTCTGACTTTGATTTCAGGAAGTTGATCCATTCGGTTCACAGAGGAAAGGTTAAAAACTAAATCACCTTGGTCGGGTTGCTGATTGATATGAAAGTACACAACAGGCTCACGTTCTCAGCCCGTAGATACTCAGCAGAAACAGTATTGCAACAAAATGGTATCCCCATAGGCATTTATTCGTTTTAGTACTCGACAGAAATACAACTCGACAAAAATTAACTGCAATGTAATTCATTCCTCTTCAACTATATGTTTACAAGAATCAAAGGAAAAAATGAGATCGACCTCCGATAATATAACTATTTTACCTCGTGCTCCTTCGTAAAGTGGCAGATCATCAGCTGTATGGATATTCGGCCTCTCGAATGAGTAGGGCTTGGTGAGTATGGACTATGGAGGTTGCTAATCCGACGACGTTGCGAGACGGCTCGAGGAGGAGACGCCAAGCTGGGAGGAAACTTCTCCACAGAGATGGCCGCATCAGCTTTCGATATAATAGCAGGCTAGCAGCTGGGTAATTTTATCAGAGCATTTTCATTTATATTGTATTCTCAATTTTAACATTACATGACATGGATGTTTACAATCGTAAAATCAATTGCTTTGATGTGACTATCAATTGCATATTTGCAGCCTGCAACAAATGTAATTGCATATGAAGGTCTAAGAAAATCAAGATTTTTTATTTTATATTATTTTCTTTCCTCTTTGACTTTATTTTCTATAATTTAAACATAATATTTAATGACATATGCAATTGCATGTTAATTGGGTTAATGTAGGTGAATGAAAGTGATTTGAGGTGGATTGCAAAAAAAAAAAAAAAAAAAAATTTGAGTTGACAATAAAGAGTACAAATCCAATTGTGTTTTGCAATTGCATTAATGTGGATGCTCTTAGAGTTTTTTATTTTATTTTTTCCTTTTGTTTTAGCTGACTCCACGTTTTACACTATTATTATTATTATTATTACTACGAGATTTTTCTTCCTCTTTGGCAAAGATGCTTAGTTTGACCTTTGAATTCTCTTAATTGGTCATTCTGGTACATAAATCAGATCAAATTCCTACTTTTAGTAACTAGCTTACATTGTTAATTACTCGATCCGTTGCCCGGTTTATGTTTGTATGAAAATTTATTGGGCAATGTGGGACCTAATAAAATTGTTAAATTCAATTCACTTGCGCAATTTGTTTGGTTTCTTTAATTTGTGGTGATCTCATTTGAGTGTATATAAATACAATATTGTAAGCAATGATGGATCTAGAAATTTTACATGGGATATTATTTTCAGAAAAAAATTATGCAATCCAAAAAATTAATTTACTTAATAATTAATATTTGTTTAGAAGCGAAATTTTGAACATTTTTTCCAAAATGTATTTTGATGATTCACAATCAATGCGTAATAAAAACTTTTGATTGAACAAATCATGCTGAAATTTTGAGATGCATAAAACAATAGCAAGCAATACTTTTTTTTTACCGTGGAGTAATTTATTTTGATAGGGTTCCTATGTTTAGAAGTAAAGAATACTAACAACTCCTTATCATTTTGGATCTGCTTAAGGATTCCTCCATATCTTAGGTCAGAGGCATCGGTTTCGACAAATTTAGAGGGAGAAGGATCACTTATGTGAAGGCATGGGAGACTCTGAACCTGCCTCTTAATTTGCAGAACTATTTCGGTATGCTGGTCACTCCAAGGAGGGGGACTCTTCTTTAATCTATTATGTAGAGGTTTACAAAGAATATTTATGTTGGGATAAAAGTCAAGGATATAATTCAAACTACCAAGGAACCGTTGTAATTGATTTTTAGCTAAAATTTGATAAGAAAATTTATCTTCAAATTGAAGAGATCTTGTGATTGGAACAATAGTTCCTTGATTAATGTAGTGACCCAAAAAACCTATCTTAATTTGAAAAAGACTAAGTTTTGGTTTAGAGACAGCCAGACCGCTACGTCGAGTGACTTCAAGAAATAAATTGAGATGTTTGAATGTTGGTTAATGGATAAAGAAAAAGAACACATTCATCCACTACCTATTAACTACCTAATTCACTATCATCCATTAGAAAGACTTTAAGATTCTTCTTAAGGAATAAAGTTTAAGGACCAAATCTAACCCACATTTTTCTCATCCATTTGATGGCTTTTGTACTAAACACGTATAAAACCCGTATAACAATTTAATATTCGTATTTAATGAATTACTGAGTTCAACGTCAGCTATGCAGCAACACGTGAGATGACCGAGAAGCGTGATGTCATTGCTAACCAGTTATGGAGTGATAATCATGTTTAATATTATTTTTTATGTAGGGAACATGAAAGATGTTAGGTAAATTGAATTTTGTGAGACTTTGCTTAATATTGAGGACATATCTCTTTTTTCTGGTTTTTAGTTCTTACAGTAGTAACTAAACGCGTTTTTGTTTCTTGTTGTCAGCTTTCATGATTTTTCAGATATATCAACTAAACAGGTTTGTGTTTTCTGTTTTTTTCCTGTTGTGGTTGTACATCTGTTTACACAACACCACTGCAACCACAACAACAACAAAATGATACTAAACGGGCCCTAAGTTTGAAAAAGACTAAATTTTGATTTAGAGACAACCAGACCGTTACGTTGAGTTACTTCAAGAAAGAGATTGAGATGTTTGAATGTTGGTCAATGGATGAAGAAAAAGAACAAATTCATCCTCTACCTATTAACTACTAACCCCGTATTAACTACCTAATCCACTATCATCCAATAGAAAGACTTTAAGATTCTTCTTAAGGAATGAGGTTTAAAGACCGGATCTAACCCACATTTTTCTCATCCATTTGATGGCTCTTGTACTAAACACGTATAAATCCGTATAACACATTCAATATTCATATTTAATGAATAAAATTGATAATTTAACTATTATTTCTACTTTTACTTATTATAGAATAATTAATTTAATATATTTTGTAATTTTCCGACGTACTATTAGCCGTATCATTAGTTTAAACCTAAATAAAATACCATACATATTTTTAGGGGTGGGCAACGGGACGGGATACCCGTCCCGTTTTAAACGGGTACCCAATCCCGTTTAGAGACCAAAGTCCATCCCATATCCCAAACCCATATGGGAAACGGGTACCCATTTCCCATACGAGATGGATAACGGGTACCCATACTACCCATAAATACCCAAAGTTTAAACCACTAAAATTTTAACAAAAGTTTAAACTTAACTTGTATTTGTTTAACAATCACAAGACACAAAATACATCCCAATCACACATACTCGGTTTGCAAATAACACATTCATGAACAATCACAACACATAGAAATAAATCATTCCAAGCACCAAATTATCAAATAAGAAATTTCATTCAACACAACCAAATGGGAGGCATGCTGCTACTTTTCTTGTGTTGCTGAATGCAGAAAGTGTCCAAATTTTTAGGTTCATGGGAAGCTAAAATCTATAGTAGAGAAGTTGAGTCTCACTGAAAGGGTAAGGGCCCTGGGCCCAAATGGCAAATGGAATTGAAATTGCAAGGGTGAGGGCCGAAATGGCCAATAGGTTCTGAATTGGGTCGGGCTGCCTTTGTATTGAATGGGTATAACGGGTACCCATATTACCCAAACGGGTATTCGCGGGTAACCCGCGGGTACCCATATTAGGAATGTACAATCCCAAGTCCCATCCGTTTATAATATTACGGGTAATATGGGTACCCGTAACCCTTAAAAAACGGGACGGGTACGGGTATACCCAATTACCCGTTTTCCGTTGCCCACCCCTACATATTTTATAATATACTCATATTGTATTTTACTAACATTGTTAAACCCAATATTCGGGTTATTTAAGCGGTATATATGTTGTTCTTACACAAAAAAAAGTATATATGTTGTTCAATATATACATGTAAAGATTTTGTGATAAAAAAGTTGACTTTATAGTGTTTTACATTACCAAACTCGTATCTTTGTCCTCTAAACAAAGATTACGGAGGTGAGTCACATGTTCGAATACTTTAAGTAGTATCTAATCACAAAAATATAAAATTTATATCATCTTATTAAAAACACAAAGAATACGTAGTGAGCCCATGGCGAATCGATGCGATTCTGTGTATCTAGTGCTGCTTTGTGAATATGCATGCAAATTGTTTGAACATGTAATGTGTAGGTCTACTTTACTGTCTATATATGCTTCAGGAGACAAGTATGAGAATGATGTGATAACACATAGGTCACGACAAATCAACAAAAACATAGTTCGTCGATAAGATAAACGTCTGCGACTTGCATACAACCAAGCAACACAGGTATGAAATCAAACAAATATTACGGGACACTGCATGCCAATTCTCTTATTAGTTATTTTTTTAAGTTTCATGTTCGGATCTCACAGTAACTATGCAATCTATTGCACCAAAACAATGAATGTTACAAAAGTAGCATTCAGACACTTGACCAATAAACTTCTTGTTTGTTTAAATTCTTCTTAAGAAAGCTAGTTACTCACAATTTCTTTAGGTTTGTTTGTGTTTCTCTAGTCCAAATACTACCGTTTTGCAAATGACGTACGTTTTAGAAAAACTGTCTATCACATACTTTGTAGTTTTTCCAACTATGTGTATTTTCTTATCTCCGCTTGGAAATAGTCTATGGCCAGATTTGTAGAGATCGAGAGCTTTGAGAGAGAGAGAGAGAGAGGGAGACTGGTAGCTAGTGTGGTAGTGGTGGTGGCGGCGGGTTGTTCTTAGAAGGAAGCAGACGACCTTCAAGTATTTGACATGGAAGCACCATCAAAAGCTGAAGAAGAAGTAGTAGATGAAGGGAACATCTTGCGTGAAGAAGAAGAAGAAGAAGAAGAAGAAGAAGAAGAAGAAGAAGAAGAAGAAGAAGAAAGGGAAAAAGGATGGAGTGGAGGTGGGAGAACTGGGAAGAATTTGAGCCGGTCTATGGAAACATGATGAGGAAGATGATGACGTTGTTTGTTTCGTTTCTTCCTACACTTTTCATCGCAGGCAGAGTAATGGTATTGCCCACCAAACCAAATGAAAGAAAGCTTTGCACTTTTCCCAGCAGAAGAACAAGAGAGAGAGAGAGGTATAAATGTACTATGAGTACTTGAGCAGCTAGCTAACTAGGATTCAGACAGGAGGAGAAGGTCCACATGGGTCTGACATTATTATTACATTATTAAAACGTCGTGTAGCACAGTAGAAGAAGAAGTTTGTCAGAGAGAAGGGGGAAATGAGATTAGGCAACCATGGTGATCATTTAATTTTTATTTCGTTCCTTCTGTACCTTTTGACTGGGGTTTTTTTTTTGTTTTTGACTGGGTTTTTTGTTGCTCATGAGAAAGAGAAACCCCAGTAGGGGGAAAGTGTTGAATGAAGACGACTCCTAGGAAGAGCAGAAGATTGGCAACATGAAAGTTGCTCTTGTCTCCCCGTTTGGTGCTGTTCCAAAGCGCCGCGACGTACGCTAGAGCGACCACGGTAGGCAGTGAAGCAACGTACGCTTGCATCCACGTGCTCCCGTACGAGCAGTAGTTGTCCACCTTAGCGTACGTCTTGCTTATGTAAGTAGAATGAGACAACCTTTTGAGAAAATCATCCATCGCCAAGACTCCAGCTAAAAAACACACACATCCAACATAAGCACAATAATAACAAGAAAAATGTCAGGACATGGAAAGTAGCAAATTATAATGCATTTCAGATGGTAAAGGTAACAACTAGGTGTACCTATTACGGTCTGAACATATCCAATTGTCACGCCTCCCCAAATCGCCATTACCACTTTGTTTGGGAAGAGGGGTAAATGGGAGGAGGGTGCAAATGTGAGGGGTAAATACAGTTTCCAACACATTTGCACCTGTTTGGTTAATTTGGAAAAGTAGGGGGTGCAAAACGGGAGTGCAAATTTACTGTTTCGGCTTACCCCCCAAATTGGGGTGCAAGGGAAGGAAGGAAGAGAGGGGGAGGGGGTAATTATGGAATTTTGTTTTTATAATTGTGTTATATATAATTATATAATAATTAATATTATCAATTTCTTCTTTTTATAAATATCATTAATGTAAACATTATTTGGGGTTGACCATTTGACTCTGGAAACAAGTTTATCAATGTTCGTCAAGTCAAATCTAGATCTCTTGGTTGAATCGAATTTGCATTGAAAATTAGAGATACGAGGTGTTCGTGGAAAAGATAGAGAGAAATTGTTTGGTTAACTCAGTTTATTTGACTAAATAGTTAAAACTTACAAATTCAAACGTGTTTGACTAAGTTTGACAATTTAAGATTAAACTAGACACGAAAACCATATATAGGATGACCAGTTACAAGTTGAGCTTCGAGTTTTGAGATCGCTCGATCAATGATTATACAATTGTCATAATTAATTATTATTTGAGCATTATTATATAATAACTATTTTTAGAAAAGTATATTTATTATTATATAGTAATATTTATTTTATTATTTTATGATAATATTTTAAAATTTTAAATTTATTTTGTAATCTAAAATCTATTTTAAAATAATATAATTACTTACTTTTCACTCTATTTGCACCCCCTACTTTTTCATCCAAACAACAATTTACCCATCCACTTACACCCCCCAGCAATTTGCACCCCCCAGCAATTTACCCCTCAACTTGCACCCTCCTGCAATTTGCACCCCCCTTGTTGCCAAACAGAGCGTACGTGTAGATTAAAGGAAACCCACAAAGCCCTGGAATTTTTTTTTGTTCAAGGGTACTTAGATTACAATCAATTGGATAATTAATGTGATAAAAGGTGCTCAACGTGTTTTTACCTGGAAGATTGAGATCATCTGATACCATACTTGACCAATGAGTTGGCTCTCGAGTCAGAGCTAGAAGTGGAGCCGTTGTCACTTGCAGCACTGTGGGTGACAACATCTTGGGACTCCGAATGATCATTATCAATAGCAACAATATCAGCAACCGGCTCTTCGACAATCTCGTTG